ATATATATATATATTAGGGCTGTCAATCGATTTACATTTTTAATCTGATTAATCACATTCTTTTTCTGTGATTAATCGCACACTTCATGAAATTAAGCATAGACCATTTATCTTTTTTCAAATGTTTATTTTGTCATCATTTGCTATATCCAGCAAAGTAAACCAAAAGGGTGATTCTCAAAAATCTATATTTTCTGCAAGCTTTTTTCAAGATAAATTTAGATGACTTTCCAAAAAAAGGACACCAAAGAACAAAATGACATAAGGAGCCCATATAAGCACATATGAAAGAAATTTTTTTTATAGTATGTGTACAGTGCAACACCAAAGAGCTTTTTTACAATTTAGAGAGGCCAAGTTGCGATACCGAACAGGACCACATGGAGATGCCAAAAAAAACCTAAACCAATTGCCTGCTGACTGCATATATCTACTACAGTACACTGATCCATTCCGTATAACTAAATACAGCAACATAAACATGACAAATCAAAACATTATCGTGAATGTGTGTGGAAATAACATGAATGTACGGAAATGTCTGTGCCTGTGCATAAATACAATGTGCGATCAGTACGTCAAGAGCACTCATACACGCATTATTATAACGGACACATGCGTGCTTACTGTACGACTCCTGCATGCAATCGTCTTTACCTTGATTGCAGTCTTCATCCATCAAAACTTTACTAGCGAGACTGGTTATCCAGTCGAGAAACTGTAGTTTGCGTCTCATCTGGCCATACAGCGGTGGGATGTGTTGACAATCACACAGCACGTGTGACGTGTGAGGGCTCGCGCTCTTCAGAGACAATCACAGAATATGACAGAGTTTATAAAAGCGAAACACACTGGAATGAATAATTCACTGAAAACGTCTCCAGGTTACGTATGTAACCATGGTTCCCCCAAGAGACCGAGACACTGCGTCGGAGAACGCTTTGGGAACGCCTTTCAGCGTGACCGGCTCTGAAGCATGTGTAATCAGTCCAATGGAAGGGCGAGACGTCATAGGCGGGCAACGTAGCGACCAGGAAGCCATAAAAGCACGTGAGGTGGAACCAGCGTCAGCTTCTAGGAATGAAGCAAGAGCTGACAGGGATGCCAGAAGTATGGCCCCGAGACACAGTGTCTCGTTCCCTTCGGGGAACCATGTTTACATACATAAACCTGGAGACGTTCCCTTTCAGGAACTCGAGCTGCGTCAGAGAACGCTTTGGGAATGAGTATGCCCACGCTGCCAGACTTGCAAATCCCAGCTAGGATGAGAGAACAGAAGAGCAAGGAGTGGGCCATATCTAGGCCATAGAACCTGACAAACGTCAGGGGCATGGACCATCCCGCTGCATTGCAGATGTCCTGCATGGACACACCTGCCAAGAAGGCCTTGGGTCGAGTGAACCTTGACCCCCAGAGGCGAGGGGAGATCAGAGGACTTGTAGGCAATAGTAATGGCATCAACTATCCACGACTAAGGGTCTGCTTCGTAGCAGGAAGACCCTGCTTAGGGGGACCATAGCATACAAGCAGTTGGTCCGCCCTTCTCCACAGGGCAGCTCTGCTTCTGCTGGTCAGGCTCCCTGAAGGGAGGAGGACAGAAGGCCTGTAGCACGATAGGCTGTGGTGTAACAGATGGAACCTTAGGGACATACCCCGCACGAGGGTAGAGGAATACTTTGGCCATGCCAGGCGCAAAGTCAAGATACGAAGGGGCCACTGAGAGGGGCCACTGAAGATCCCCAACTCTTTTTAGAGAAGTAATCGCCAGAAGGAGGGCAGTCTTAATTGTGAGATAGCGATCAGAAATGTCTTCAATAGGCTCGAATGGAGACTTACAAAGAGCTTATAGCACCACAGCCAGGTCCCACGTGGGGACGCAGGACTGTACTGGGGGCCTAAGTGCACCGCGGAGGAAACGTGTAACTAGGGGGTGTCTGCCCACTGACTGGCCAACAAGAGGGGCGTGGTAGGCCGCAATGGCCGCCACGTAGACCTTCAGGGTGGAGTGGGCTAGCCCTGGGGAGAAACGGGCCTGCAGAAACTCCAGCACTGTACCAACTGGGCAGTTAACTGGGTCAAGCTGGCGATCTCCACACCAAGAAGTGAACATTTTCCACTTCAAGGCGTACAGTTTCCTCGCAGAGGGAGCTCTGGATTGGAGGATGGTCTCAACAACCTCGTTTGAGAGACCGGAAGCTATGAGCTGTGCCCCCACAGGGGCCACACCCACAACTTCCACAGCTCCAGGCAGGGGTGGACGACCATACCCTACGCCTGAGAGAGGAGATCTCTCCTGACGGACATTTCCCATGGAGAGCCGTTGAGGAGAGAAATCAGGTCCGAGAACCATACTCGGCCCGGCCAGAATGGGGCTACTAGCAGTAGACGGACCCCGTCCCGGCGCACTCTCTCCAGAACTCCTGAGAGCAGAGCGATCGAGGGAAAGGTGTACAGATGAAGCCTCGACCAAGTCTGTACCATAGCATCCATGGAGGTGAAGCCTCCATTCCCCGGGCCTCGGCCTCGCCCCCTGCCTCGACAGGATGTCTGCTCCCATATTCAGATGCCCAGGAATATGTACTGCTCTCAATGAAAGGATTTTTCCCTGGGACCACACAAGGATCTGGTGCGCCAGCTTGTATAAGTGGCACGAACGCAGACCTCCCTGGTGGTTGATATAAGAGACCACCGCTGTGTTGTCGG